GGAGAGGGGGCTAGGAGCAGAAAACACTTGGCAGAACCACGCGGGCAGATCGGGCGGGTAAACCCTGGCGGGGGGTCGGGCAGGCGGGCCCAGGCGGCCAGGTCGAGCATGCGGGTTGCTGAAGCGTGCGGCCTGCAGAAATCGCGAAGAAGTCTCGAACGATAGCGCGAGCCCCTCCTAAATCGTAAGGAGATCCACAGCGAGAGCGCGATTCCTGAATGTCGAAGGCGCGGCGTCTCAATACATTGCGAGGAAGTCCCACGCGAGAGCGCGATTCCTGTACACATTGCGAGGACGTCCCGCGTGAGAGCGCTATGTGGAAATACATTGTGCAGAAAAATAGAGCGGGAGCCGTGGCAGTGAACCGGGCGCCAGGGGCCCAGCTTGGTGACCCTTCATTTGCCATTGTAAAACCAGGGTGCAAACCCAGGAAGGGGCACTTTCATTGAAACGCGCAATGGTCACCGGAGGGGGGGGGACAACAATACTTATTCCTCATAACTAAGAACGAAACAACAACAGGCATTTTAAAACTATTCGTTCCTATCTGCTCGCGTGAAATCTAGCACGTATCTGCCAAACCCTCGGTACCCGCCCTTTTCGTCTTCGATCGTACCTGGGGATATATCTTCCTTCCCGCCACGCGCATGTAGCGCAGCACCTCAAAACATGCGAAAAAAAGACGCATGGAAAGGGGGAGGGAGAAGGATTGAACACGAGAAAGAGAAAGAGAAAGAGTAGCAAGAGGGGGGCTAGGAGCAGAAAACACATGGCAGAACCAATCGGACACATCGGGCGGGCAGACCCTAGCGGGCGGGTCGGGAAGGCGGGCCCAGGTGGCCAGGTCGAGCAGGCGGGTTGCTGAAGCGTGCGGCCTGCATGGGTCGCGAGGAAGTCTGGAGCCAAAGCGAGAGCGTGATTCCTGAGTGTCGAAGGCGCGGCGTCTGAATAAATTGGAAGTTCGAAGTCCCACGCGAGATCGCGACTCCTGTATAAATTGTGAGGACGTCCCGTGCGAGACCGCGATTGGGGAATACAGTGTAAGGGTGTATCAACCGGGCTCCGTTGTTGTTGTTGTTGTTGTTGTTGTTGTTGTTGTTGTTGTTGTTGTAATCCGGGGGCCAACAACGCAGTTTGGTGACCCTGCGCTTTCCCGGGTAAAAACAAAAAATAGTGCGAGCTCTGGGAGAAGCACTTTAATTCAACACATCCAATGGTTACCAGGCAAGGGGGTCACCAATACTGTTTTTTCGGGGAATGGGAACTCAACAACAGAATCAGCAGCGCCAACAATAACAAGAACAACAGCAACAACGATCGTGTTAAGACTGGTCGTTCTTATCTGCTCGCGGGCAAGTCAAAACGTTTATCCAAAACCATCGATATCCGCCCTCTTCGTCTTCGACCGTGCCCCCTTGAGTATATATCTCTCTTACCTGCGACGTGTATTTCGTGCAGCCCGTAAGGCAGGGGAAGAGAAGACGGACAGAAGGCAGGGACGAGGAGAATGGAGCACGAGAGAGAAAAGAGAGAGAGAGAGAGAGTAGCAGAAGAGGGGCTAGGAGCAGAAACACACATGGCAGAACCAAACGGGCTGATCGGGCGAGTAGACCCTAGCGGGGGTCGGGAAGGCGGGCCAAAGCGGCCAGGTCGAGCAGGCGGGTTGCTGAAGCGTGCGGCCTGCATGGGTCGCGAGGACGTCTTGGGCGACAGCGCGGGCGCGCTTCCCAACGACAGCGCGGGCGCGCTTCCCAACTAAATCGTGAGGAAATCTACAGCAAAAGCGCGACTCCTAGTGTCGAGGGCGCGGTGTCTGAAAACATTGCGGGGAAGTCCCACGCGAAAGCGGGAACCGCTGTTGTTGTAAACCTGGGGCTCCCATCAGGTTGGTGACACCTCGTAACAAAAAACAAGGTGCGAGGCCCGGGAGAAGCACTTAAATCTAAAAGGGAATGGTTACCGGGTAGGGGGATCAACAAAACATGAATCGCATTCACAAAATATCCCTGCGAAGGACCCAACCATATGCAGTTGTGGGCACCGCAATTGTGAATATCTTCTTCGGTGAAGCTTCCTATGGGGCCACGAAGCGCTGCACTGGTTGGGGGGGAACGCATGCGGACGGTAGCACTGGGGCGTGGAGCTCCCTTATGGGGCCACGAAACGCTGTAGGGCGAAAATGCATAATTGCGCGTGTGGGACGCACGCGGGCGGTCCCACTGGGGGCTTCGGTGGAGCTCCCTATGGGGCCACAAAACGCTGTACTGGGTGAGTGAACATGCCCAATTGGGTGTGTGGGACGCATGCGGGCGGTCCCACACGGCCTTCGACGGAACCCCTATAGGACCACGAAACGCTATACCGGGTGGGCGAAAATGCCAAATTTGGGCTCCCGGGGCGCACGCGGACGGTTGCACTGGGGCCTTCGGTGGAGCTCCCTATGGGGCCACGACGCGCTGCACTGGTGGGAAAAATGCCAAAATTGGGCTTCTGGGACGCATGCGGACGGTGGCACTGGAACCTTCGGTGGAGCTCCTTTTGGGGCCACGAAACGCCCCATGGGGGGGAGGAATCAATAGACGGTCCCACTGGGGCCGTCGGTGGGGCTCCCTATGGGGCCACTAAACGCTGTATTGGGTGTGCGGAATGCATGCGGACGGTAGCACTGGGACCTTCGGTGGGGCCACGAAGCGCTGTACTGGGTGTGCGGGACGCATGCGGACGGTAGCACTGGGACCTTCGGTGGGGCTCCCAATGGGGCCACGGGACGCTGTACTGTATGGTGAAACGCAGGGAGGAGGGAGGAGGGGGCCACGAAACGCTGTACTGGGTGTGCGGGACGCATGCGGACGGTAGCACTGGGACCTTCGGTGGGGCTCCCAATGGGGCCACGAAGCGCTGTACTGGGTGGGCGAAACGCAGGAAGAAGGAAGGAGGAGGAGGAGCGGGAAGGGAGGAGTGGAGGAGGACAAGAGAGGAGAGGAACGCGGGGCACCGTCTCGTCAAAACGAGGACCCGACACCACAGGATAGTTGGGAATAGGAAGCCAACAACAACAGCAACAGAAACTATAACCACAACTTCCACAACAACAACCAATTTAAGACTGTTCGCCTTTTGTACGCGTGCGTGTCAATCAACTTGTGTTTCCCGAGCCCTCGGTGCCTGTCCCTTTCGTCTTCGATCGTGCCCCTTTGAGTGTATATATCTTGCTTACCTGCAACGCGTATTTCGTGCAGCCCCTACGGCAGGGGAATTGAGGACGGATGGAGGAAATGGACAAAGGGGAGGGTGGATGGAGCACGAGAGGCAGACAGAGACAGGGAGTAGCAGGAGGGGGGCTAGGAGCAGAAAACGTGTGGCAGAACCAATCGGACAGATCGGACGGGCAGACCCTAGCGGGCGGGTCGGGAAGACGGGCCCAGGCGGCCAGGTCGAACAGGCGGGTTGCTGAAGCGTGCGGCCTGCATGAATCGCGAGGAAATCTCGAGCGATGGCGCGATTCCCTCGTAAATCGTGAGGAAATCTGCAGCTAGAGCGTGATTCCTGAATGTCGAGGGCGCGACGGCTGAATGAATTGCCAGGAACTCCCACGCGAGAGCGCGATTCCTGTATAGATTGTGAGGACGTCCTGCGCAAGAGCGCGATTGGGGAATACAATGTGAGGAAGTATCAGGCGGAAGCCGCTTTTCTTGTTAACCGGGGGCCGACAACAGAATTTGGTGGCATTTCGCTTTCCCTTGTAAAAAAACTGTTTGCAAGCCCCGGGATAAGCAGTTTGATTCAAAGCATGCAATGCTTACCGGGCAGTGGGGATCCACAATAATTATGTTTAGGAATGGGAATTCAACAGCAACAACAACACCAACAACAACAACAACATCCACAACAACAGCAAAACCAACGACCAACAACAACAAACAGTTTAAGACTGTTCGCTCTTATCTGCTCGCGTGCAATTCAACACGAGACCCGCCCTCTTTTTTTGCGATCGTGCCACCCCCTCTGGGTTATGTCATCCTTACCTGCCTCGCGCAGTTGGCGCAGCCCCTAAAACAGGGGAGGGGAGGGAGGAGGGAAGAGACAAGGAGGAGGGAGAAGGATGGAGCACGAGAGAGATTTGCAAGGGGTCAGGAGCAGGAGCACAAGCGGCAAAACCAGACGGGCGGGTCGGGCGAGTGGACCCTAGCAAGCAGGTCAGGCGAGCGGGCCCAGACGGCCGGTTCGAGCGAGGGGGTCACTCAAGCGTCAATCCAACATGAATCGCAAGGACATTTCAAGCTATAACGCGATACCCAAGTAAATTGTCCAGAAAACCAAAGCGAGAGCGTGATTCCTGAGTCTTGGGTGCACGGAAGCGCCTGAATGAAGTACAAGAAAGGACTACGCGAGAGCTTGACTCTTGCATGCATTACCACGAAGTCCCACGCGAGAGTGCAATGCTGAAATACCATGTGAAGAAATATCAGGCGGGAGGCGTTGTTTTTGTATGTCGGAAGCCAGAAACACACAAGGTGGGTCAGCATTACATCCGACCTCCATCACCGCGAACATAAACAGCTAACAACAATAACGACATGTGCCTTCACCCGCGCGCCCCAGGGCCGCCCTGGAGCTTACCTAGGGCGGCCACGGCGAGCGCTCCTCCACCTCCTCCTCCTCCTTCTTCTCCTGCTCCTCCTCCTCCTCCCCCTCCTCCTCCTTCTCCTCCTCCCCCTCCTCCTTCTCGCTCCTCCTCCTCCTCCTCCTCCTCCTCCTCCTCCTCCTCCTCCTCCTCCTCTCCTCCTCCTCCTCCTCCTCCTCCTCCCTCCCTCCTCCCCCTCCTCGTCCCTCCTCCTCCTCCTCCTCTCCTCGTCCTCCTCGTCCTCCCCCTCCTCCTCCTCCTCCTCCTCCTCCTCCTCCTCCTCCTCCTCCTCCTCCTCCTCCTCCTCCGCCCCCTCCGGGGCTGACGCCGGGGCTGCTGGTGGAGACCCCCCGAGGCGCAGGTCGCAGGCCACGGCCTCGAGCGCGCTTCTCCTTCTTGTCCTTCTTGTCCCTCTTGCCCTTCTTGTCCTTCTTGTCCTTCCTCTCCTTCTTGGCCTTCTTGTCCTTTTTCTTTTTCTTCTTGCCGGCCGCCTCGCGCTCTACTAAACTGCAACTGATCACCCCGAGTTGTTCCGCAATCGCCCTGACCCCCCCCCCTCCGACCCCCTATGCTAGGCACCCCGCCTGACAGCCTTTTCTGCCTCCCCCGCCTGGCGTGCCGAAGCCATCCACTCGCGATCTCCCCCCCGCCGCGCTCCGCGACGGACGGCGCAATTTTCTACAACCCCCACGCGGCCCTTCTCTGCTTCCCTGAACCACTTGCCTGCAAAGGTCCTCTGGCAAGAAGGGGCTGGAGGGGGGACGAACCCATTTGGTGGTCTCCAAACCAGGTGGTGAGACACCCGGTGGTGACCCCGATTCCCCAAAAAAATAGTTCTGGGTCACCACCGGGTTTGGGGACACGCGGTCGCCACGAGGTTTTGCGTTTCCTGGGCCAGCCAGCGCTCGAAAACCATTACCCAAATCGCCCAAAACTCACCACCAGGTGTTCTCACCACCACGTTTTGGGACCACCAACCCATGCCGGCCCCGGAATCCATGACTTCACTTCATGATCTCCCGCACGGTCTCCCGGGGGAGAGCCGCTGCCGGCCACGGAATCGGTGGCCTGACGGTCGCCCGCAGGGTCTCCGGCACTGCACGGTGCCCCCGTATGATCTGTCTAGCGGCGTGGCCTCGCGAGTGGGCGCTCGTGTGGCCTCCCGCATGCTCTCCTCGCATAGGGCCTCCCTCCCTCCCCCATCCTCCACCTCCTCCTCCTCCTCCTCCTCCTCCTCCTCCTCCCTCCTCCTCCTCCTCCTCCTTCTCCTCCTCCTCCTCCTCCTCCTCCTCTTCCTCCTCCTCCTCCTCCTTCTCCTCCTCCTCCTCTCTCCTCCTCCTCCATCCTCCATCCTCCATCCTCCATCCTCCTCCTCCTCCATCCTCCATCCTCCCCCCCCCCTCCTCCTCCTCCTCCTCCTCCTCCTCCTCCTCCTCCTCCTCCTCCTCCTCCTCCTCCTCCTCCTCCTCCTCCTCCTCCTCCTCCTCCTCCTCCTCCTCCCCCCGCGTACGCGCGCTGATGGCATCATCGCTTTACTGCTCAGGTGCGCTGGTCAGGGTCTCTGCCGCCAGTTAGGTACGTTGAACCCTGCAGCTGCGGATGAGAGGGAGGGAGCGGGCACGGGGTGGGTGGCGGCCAGGTCGCGGGTGGGTCGCGGGCGGGGGCGACGACAACAAAACGCAACAGCAACAGCAACAAAATCAACAGCAACAGCAACAGCAACAACACCAACAACAGCAACAACAACGACAACAACAACAACAGCAACACCAACACCAACAACACCAACAACAACAACAACAACAACAACAGTAACAGCAACAGCAACAAAAGCAACAGCAACAAAATCAACAGCAACAACACCAACAACAACAACAACAACAACAACAACAACAACAACACCAACAACAACAACAACAACACCAACAACAACAACAACCATCCGCACCGCGGAACCCCAATTCAGCCTCGCGCCCAGGGACAGCAAATGGCCGCTCGGACCCCTCACTCTGATGTTTCCCCCTACCGTCACCATCATGTGGCGTGGGGTCCTCGTTTTGAAGAGATCGCGCCCCTCGTTTCTCCACCTTCTCCTCCTGGCCCCCCCCCTCCTCTGGTCCCTGCCTCTGCCCTCCGTGCCCAGTGCAGCGCGTCGTGGCCCCGTAGGGAGCCCCCCCGAAGGCCCCAGCGGCTGTGACCACATGCGCCTCCGCGCTCGAGGATGCAGCGCCACCGAAGGCCCCGTGGGGAGCGCCACCGAAGATCCCCCCGTGGCTGTGACCACACGCGTCTCCGCGCACCCCAGTACAGCGCTCTGTGGCCGCGTAGGGAGCGCCACCGGAGGCCCCGGTGGCTGTGACCACATGCGTCCGCGCCACCCAGTACAGCGCTCTGTGGCCGCGTAGGGAGCTCCACCGAAGGTCTCCCTGCGACTGTGACCGCATGCAGGAGAGCCCAAATTCGAATAAGTCGGATCGGCGATCGACATGAATCGGGTCGGCCGAAATCGGCAGCCGAACCGGAAAAACCCGAATCGGCGGACATCGGCAGCCTTGTCTGCCTCCAACAGAAATCGGAACCCACATCGGAATCCCAAGTCGAATCGAATCGAAATCGGAAACCATCGAAATCGAGTCGGCTCCAATCGGAGGAATCGAAACGAGCCCTGCACATGCGTCCGCGCTACCCAGTACGGCGCTTCGTGGCCCATTGGGGGGCTCCTCCGAAGGCCCCTGTGACCGGGACCATCTGCGCCCGCGCCCCAATCGCTCCCAGGCGCTACCATGTGCTCCCGGGCGCTCCCAAGCATACCCGTGCGCCCCCTGGCGCTCCCAAGCTCCAGCGCTCCCCAGGCGCCCCCAAGCGCTTTCAGGCGCTCCCAGGGGGGGTCCCTGGCGCTCCCAGGCGCTCCCAGGCGCCCCCAGCCGCTCGCAGGCGCTTCCAAATACTCCCGGGCGCTTCCCAGGCGGTCCCCGGGTGCCTTCCGGCGCTCCCATGCGGGCTCGGGCGCTCCCAAAGGCGCGCCCAGGCGCTCTGGCGCTCCCGGGGGCCCCCAGGCGCTCCCAAGCGCTCCCAGCTCCCAGGCGCTCCCAGGCGCTCCAGGCGCTTCCCAGGCGCTTCCCTGGGCGCTTCCCTGGGCGCTCCCGGGCGCTCCCAGGCGCTCCCAAGCCAGGCGCTCCCAAGCGCTCCCAGTCGCACTCCAGGCGCTCTCCAGGCGCTCCCACAAGCGCTCCCAAGCGCCCCACCGAAGGCCCCAGTGGCTGTGATCACATGGGTCTCCCCCGACCATTTTCGGCACGCCCCTCGCGCGTGTCGTGGCCCGCCCCCAGGGAGCTCCACCGAAGGCCTCGTGGCGGTGCCCACATGCTCCCCCCCGCTCATGTCCGAATACCCAGCTCCCCCTCCTTCGTCCCACCTGCCTAGAGGTATGGACAATTGCATATGGTTGGGTCCTTCGCCAGGATAAGTTTGTTTGCGTGTTGTATGCGTTGCTGTTGCTGCTGAGCCCCCACTTGTGAATAATGATTGTAGTTCAGCCCTTTCCAGGTGCCCTTTATGCTTTTCAACTAGAGTGTTCATACTGGGGCTCGCGCCTTGTTGTTACTTTAAGAAATATTGCGCCTCAGATTGCGCTGCTGGTCCCAAGTTTACCACAATAACGATCCCCGCCAGATACGTCCTCCGAAATTAATCGAAAACGCGCTCTCGCGCGGGACTTCCGCGCAATGTATTGTTGAACAATGCTTGCACTTAAGGTTTCTGACGTCAGTTCTAAAGAACTGGGCCGTGTCTTCGGTCTGGCGGCTATGCGGCCGCCGTCGCCGCCCCGTCGCCGCCTCGTCGCCGCCCGTCGTCTGGGCCGTGTCTTCGGTCTGGCGACTGTGTGGCCGCCGTCGCCTCCCCGTCGCCGCCCGTGCCTTGCTACCCCGTGAAAGGCATTGCATTGCATTGCAGTGCCCGCATTGCTTTGCATTAGCACTTCGTTGCTTTGCACTGCACTGCTTTGCGCTGATATGCTTGCTGCGCATTATTTTGCAGTGCTTTGCGTGGTTTTGCCCCGCTTTGCGATGCTCTGCGATGCCTTGAACTGCCTTTTTATATTTTTGTTGTCCCACACCAGTGCTTGCACGTAGGGATTCTTTTCTCTTCTAAGGACAGGGCGGCGGTGTCGGTGTGGCACCTGTGTTGCCGCTGTCGCCGCCAGTCGTCTGGGCACTGTGTTGCAATCGCACTGCGCTACAATCGCACTGCTTTTTACTGAGTTGCATTACAATGCGTTGCTTTGCGTTGATTTGCACTGATCTACACCGCACGGAGTGCACAACATGTATTGCACCACCTACGCTGCACCACCTTAACTGCACAACCTGAAACTCCGCATCGGTAATATGAAATATGAAACTACTGTTTGGGGCCCACGCTGGCTAACATTCAGGAACCGCGCTCTCGCGCGATGCTTCATCGCAATTTTCTCGGACGCCGCGCCTTCGACACTCAGGAATCAAGCTCTTGCCCTCGACTTCCCTACGATTTACCTGGAAGTCGCGCTATCGCTCGAAACTTCCTCGCGATTCATATCGGATTGACCCTTCAGCGACCGGCCTGCTCAACCCGGTCGTGTGGGCCTGCCCGGCTAACCCGCCCGCTAGGGTTCGCCCGCTGGGCCCGATGACCAAGTTCTGCCGCTTGCACCTTTGCTCCTCGCTCCCTCCTGCAAAGCTTTCTCGTGCTCCATCCTTTTCCCTGCCCCATGTGAGCGTGTTTTTTTACTCGGCGTTTCGACACTGGGCGGAAGGGGTGGCGGGGTGGGGGGGGGGTCTGGCTCCGGACCTCTGCTTTAACGCGACTGTTTGCAAGAGTGCGGCTACTGGGAGAGACTCCCCCTGCTCGAAACAGGCGCCCAAAACAGCCAAGATCTTCTTCATGGGGGGGGGAGGAGGGGTGCGACGGCCCGCGCCGGTCGGCAAAACAATGAACAAAAAACGATCAGCATGTGTCTTTATTTTGCTCATTCTTTTTCTGGCTTAGGGTCAGCGCCAAGTACGCGTGGCAGGTAAGGGAGGTAAACCCCCAAGGGGGGCACGCTCGAAGACGGTGGGGGCAGGCATCGAGGGTCGCCCCTTGTATTGCAATGGAGAACCTTTCTCTCAAGACTGTGCCCCTGGCTCACGGTTGACAACAGCAGCGGCTCCCGCATGATACTTCTTCACCGTTTATTCGAAAATCGCGCTCTCGCGTGGGACTTCCTCACAATGCATACAGGAATCGCGCTCACATGCCGCGCCCTCGACGCCCAGGAATCGCGCTCTCCGCTTTTGTTGTTCTCACAATTTACTTGTGGTCGGCCGCCTTCCCGGTCCGCCCGTGAGGGTCTACCCGTACGATCAGCCCGTCTGGTTCTGCCACGTGTGTTTTGCTCCTGGAACCCCTCATTCTAATTTCTCTCGTGCTCCATCCTTCGCCCTCCCTCTTACATCCGTCCTCTTTTCCTTTGTGTTAGGGGCTGCACCAGGCACGCGTGGCAAATCAGGGCGATCTAGCCCAACGGGGGCACGATCGAAAACGAAGAAGGCGGGCATCCAGGGTTCGGGAGATGTGCGTTGAATGGCACGCGAGAAAGGAATATCGAATAATCTTGACATGAATGTTGTTGTTGTTGTTGCTGCTGCTGTTGTTGTTGTTGGTAATGGTTATGTTGTTGTTGATGATGCTATTTTTGGTGTGGCTGTTGAACTCTACCCACTGAAGAATAATTATCTTTGATCCCCCCCTCCGGTGACCATTACGTTTTTTGAATTGAAGTGCTCCCTCCGGGGCTCGCACCCTGTCATTGTATCAATGAAAATCACTAGGCTCAAACTGCGCCCCTGGCCCCCGGCTTACAACAACAGCGGCTCCCGCCGAATACTTCCTCACAATCATTTCCCCAAATCGCGCTCTCGCGCGCTACCGTCTCACAATTCATGTACGCATCTCTCTCGCATGGGACTTCCTCGCAATTGATTCAGACGATGCGCCCTCGGCGCTCAGGAATCACACTCTCGCTTTTGCTTTTCTCGCGATTTACTTGGGAATCGCGTCAGCGTTCAAGACCTCCTCACGATTCATGCAGGACCCACGCTGCAGCAACCCGCCTGCTCGACCTCGTCGCCAGGGCCCGCCTTGCCGACCTACCCGCTATTGTCTGCCCGCCCGATCTGCCCGTCTGGTTCTACCACTTGTTTTCTGCTCGTTGCCCCCCTCCTGCTAATTTCTCTCGTGCTCCATTCTTCTCCCTCCCCCTTTCACCCGTCCTCTCCTCCCTTGTTTTAGGGGCTGCACTAAATGCACGTGGCAGGTAAGGAAGATACACCCCCAAAGGGGTACGATTGAAGACGACGAGAGCAGGTACCTAGGGTTTCGGATATACGTACTGATTGGCACGTGAGCAGGTAGGAGCGAACAGTCCTAAGATGATTGTTGTTGTTGCTGATGTTGTTGCTGTTGCTGTTGTTGTTAATGGAATTATTGTTGTTGTTGCCTTGTTGCCTCGTGGCCTTGTTGTTGTCGTCGTCCTCCCCCGCGACCCGCCCGCGACCCGCCCCACGACACACGCCGCGACCCAACCCGTGACCCACCCCGCGACCCAACCCGCGACTCACCCCGCGACCCACCTGCGACCCACTCACATTGCTTTGACGAGTATTCAGCGCCTGTGGCGGGCTCTGCGGCGAGCTTTTTCAGAGCCTCGAAGACTGCCGACGTCCAAGCCGCCCCCTCACTCTTATCTGCAACTGCAGGGTGCTAGGTACATGGTCCCTCGACCTCTCGATTACTTTTGTATCCCAAATTGTGTTGTCCAGTTGCTCCGGAGCCCGAGAATAAGCTGCCAGAGCCAGACACTTGTAACAGCAACGCGTCTTGCTGTATCAAGACGGTTGAGGCCTGAGTCTGCGGCGAGACTACCTACCGACCGAGCCCACCTGCAATGCGTGCGCCTCTCTGCTGGCCAATCCCCCCCTGAGCGCGCACGACGACGGCGGCGTCGCCGGGCACCGGCGCCAGCGCTGGCGCCGCTGCCGTCGTCGTCGCCGTCGCCGTCGCCGTCGCCGTCGTCGTCGTCGTCGTCGTCGCCGTCGTCGTCGACGTCGCCGTCGTCGTCGTCGCCGTCGTCGTCGTCATCCGAGTCGACGGCGGGCGGCGGTGGTCGCAGGCTGCGGCCGCCGTTGCGCCCCAGGCCGGCGAGGGCGCGGCAGCAGCGGCGGGCAGTCGGGGCGCGCTCGGCGGCCTCAAGGGGCCGCCCCGGGCGGCCCCCCTGGAGGCCCTGCTCGGCAGTGGCCCTGCTCGGCAGTGGCCCGCGGGCGGGCGCGCACTTGCAGGTCAGCATTGGGGATGCCAGTGCAGGCTCAGGTCGGGCGTGTCCTCCTACAGGCGGACTTTGGAAGAAGCATGGAGTTCAGTCAACAAAAACAAGAGGAAGAACTAACATGGTCGAGAGATCGTCCCCAGACTGTGTTTTTCGACCTTTAAAAATCAGAGGGACGTGCCCGATTTCAGTGCGGGCCGAGTGCTGAGATGCGGCACGGGGCTCGGCGTCAGAGGTAGAGGAACAAACAACGGCAGAAGCATATAAACTGTTGACGGTCCTCGCGGAGAGCCAAGCAAGTTTATGCTTGTGCGTTTTGCGTTGCTTCCTTCGATGCAGGGGGCGAGGGGTGTGTGCGGCCCTTCGGGGGAGACCCTGCTGACGCGGGGTGCGTTGCCCGCATCTCGCGCGGCGCTGGCGCAGCCTGGGGGAGCCCTCTGCCGACCTCCGACCTCCAGAAGCCTCCGGGGAAGGCCGGCCGCGCAGGGCCGGGCGTCGAGGTCTCGGAACCGCCGCTCCAGAGCGCCGTGCCGTCGGGGGCAGAACGAGCATCCCCTATCGACCAGAATACTTGTCGCGGGGGGGTGCCGCGTTGCGAGGACATTCCGGACCACGGGCAGCTACCGCAGCTTTGCGGGCGTGCTTGGCGACATGATTCGCCCCACAAGTCTGGGCCAGCTTTGGACCACACTCCAGGGAACACGCTGGGCCAGCCATGCCCGCACTGCTTCGTGCATGAGCTTGGGGCAGGAAAGAGAACAGCTTCCCAGAAGTTGCTACAGAAACTCTCAGCTGGTCCAGTGACGGGCAGGCTTCTCAGTGATCGGCGCAGGTGTACTACAACCGCCCCGCTTCACCATCCTCTGCGAAAGCTGTCGCGCAAACTGTGCTATCCCGAGCCTCTGGGGCCTCCCTGAATTTCCACGACGTGGGTTCCCGACCTGCGGTACGCTGGCCCAGGGGATCGTGTCCTGTGCCCTGGGCGCCGTTTTCTCTTGGGGCGGTGGCCCTACCTAGAAAAATGAAGGGGCCCTGGGGCACGCAAATAAATACACACAAATCACAGGATTCCCCATCTTTTCTCATATTTTCTGGGTCTTTGTCTTCCCCCCACTTCCCAATGTTTTCCACATGTTCTGGGGAATCAGCGATTGATTGTATCTGTGTGATTTTTCTCCCTCCTGGACAAAAAAAAAAAGCTGCCCAGACCGCCCGCGCCGCCAGCGCCGACGCGCCGAGGCGGAGCGGACCTGCCGTGAGTCCCGGGCGGTCTCCAGAGGTCACAGGGTGGACTCCGCCGTCGTCGCCGTCGCCCGTCGCCGCTGCCGTCAACGACAACTTGCGGGAGCTGTGCTCCTTACCGGTAAGTCGGGCGTGTCCCCCTACAGGGGGATTTCGTCGAAAAATAAGAAATATTAAAAAATATACCAAAAAAGTCAAAAACAAATCAATGAAAAATCCCCGCACTACTTTTAGACTATTTTTGAATATTCCCCCTGTCGAGGGACAGGCCCGACTTAACCTTACCCCCACGGGGCGCCCGCCGCATCGGCGATCTCTCGAGAAGGGTGCCGAGGCCAGTGGGCCCCCCAGGGGGGTGATCACCACCGCTCCCCCGGCTGTGCCGTCTGTCGCCGCCGCCGCCGCCGCTAAAGTCGTCGCTCTCGCCGTCGCCACGGCCCCTGTCGTCGTCGCTGTCGCCGTCACCGCCACCGCCGCTGTCGCCAGTATCGCCTGTACGACCGCCACCGTCGTCGCCTCCGCCGCCCGGCCGCGCGCGCGGGCGTCCCCCTCCTCCTCCTCCTCCTCCTCCTCCTCCTCCTCCTCCTCCTCCTCCTCCTCCTCCTCCTCCTCCTCCACTCCACCTCCTCCTCCTCCTCCTCCTCCCTCCTCCTCCTCCTCCTCCTCCTCCTCCCTCCTCCTCCTCCTCCTCCTCCTCCTCCTCCTCCTCCTCCTCCTCCTCCTCCTCCTCCTCCTCCTCCTCCTCCCCCCTCCCCCCCCTCCCCCCCTCCCTCCTCCCTCCTCCCTCCTCCCTCCTCCTCCTCCTCCCTCTCCCCTCCCCCCTCCCTCCTGCCTCTTCCCGGGGGTCCAGGGGCCGCCTCGGTGCCGGCGGCGCTGCGGGCGGCGGTCCGCTTGGCGACCTTGGCGGGCAGCTTCGCCGCGGCCGCCTGGCGGCGGGCCGGGCGAGGCGCGGTTCGGCGCGCCTCGCCCTCGGTAGGAGCCAACGGACGGCCGTCGCGGCGGGTTGGCGTCGTCGTCGCCGTCGTCGTCGTCGTCGGGCGTCGTCGTTGCCGTCGTCGCCGTCGTCGTCGTCGTCGTCGTTTTGCGTCGTCGTCGTCGTCAAAGGGCCACTCTTACGCGTCGTCGGCTTCTGCAGCGCGAAGCACTCGTCGGCGGAAGGACGGCGGAAGGCGGCGGAAGTAAATGGGTGAGACGTCGAACACCAAACTGGCCATACATATCAGACATTGGGCGGCAAGATCTGATGCCACTTGGTGTATCGAGTCTGTGCAACAGTGTGCCTGCACAGCGGCCCCAGCGCAGGAGGCTCTTCGAGGCCATTGCCAGGCAAAGGGTTCAGGTAGGACGGGGGAACGAGAAGTTTACATGTTTGGATCCAGAGCTTCTGGGGTTGAGGGGCAACGAAAAGGGGGGACTGGCATAGGGGGGGATACATCGACCAGGAATCGGCGAATTCGCACCTTCGTGGGCAGCCTGGGGCTATCGGGCCCTTATCGAAGATCCATGGGCGATTGGGGATCGATGCATCCCCCCTAATGCCTATCCCCCCAATCGTTGCCCCTGATGGGTTCGGCCTTCTACTCAGGGAGGCAACTCCTAGGGGGCCTTCAAGGGAGGCCTCCGTGGGCTCGGCCTGAGACCTCGGAGCACAGGCTGCAGCGAGCTGCTGCGCTGGATTCCACAGGGTGGCAGCCCCGCCAGAGACAGCCCGACGAGGTCGGATTTTAACCACCAAGGATATGCCAGTCCAGATCAATCTCGGCGGCGAGCCCAGGGGGGAAGCAAGACGGGACCACAACGCTCGGCCACATGGGCGATTCCAGAAGGCAGGGGGCGGCGGTGAGTCGCCGTAGGCGTCTTCGACATCTTGCGCCAAGGCTCGATATCTTGTAGCCAATACACGAGCTGCCCCAGGCTCGCTACTCTTGTGATGCTTGCGCGTGTTTTTTGTTTTGTCGCGAGCGTTCCACCTCAGGCCCCTCGACCCTGGAACGCTCTCACCTTCAGGAGGCGGAGGAGGAGGAGGAGGAGGAGGAGGAGGAGGGGGAGGAGGAGCAGGAGCAGGAGCAGGAGGAGGAGGAGGAGGAGGAGGAGGAGGAGGAGGAGGAGGAGGAGGAGTGGACCAATCCCTCTTGTGGGGAGGGCCCCCATCGGTCGTCTGCCGTTCGCTCCGCGCCCTCGACCGACCGCCCCAGCATTCCCACAGGGCTGCCACGACATGCTCTTAGAACCCAGACATGTCCAAATAACAAAACGACTGTTCGTGTGCCAAGAACAAGAACGTAAACCCAGCAAAACGACTGTTTGTGTGCCAAGAGGAAGAACGTAAACACGAAGTGTTCTTAAAACACAGACACGGACACAAACCCGATGTGTTCAAACAAGCATCCCGCGCAAACCACAAGAGGCTATTCGAACATTCTTTGGTGGGCCTATAGGCAAGCCGGGGACGCTTCACCACTGCTCGAAGGAGGGAGGGGAGAGGAAGAGGAGGAGCAGAGCGAGCCTTAGGCTGGGCGCGTCCCCTTACAGGCGGACTGTGGGCGAAACGCTAAAAGTATACGGTCATATGAAAGCGTAGGCAGCACATAATTTCAGACATCGCCCCTGGACTATTTGATGGTTTACTACTTGTGAATGTTCTTCCTGCAGAGGGGCATGCCCGACTTGAGGCGAGCCCCATCAGAAGTACATCCCATCCACGAAGGCGCGGGCCGTGGCGCTGGCGACGAAGCTATCGTGGGCGCCAGCGCGGGGTCCCCGCACAGTCGCTGGCGCAGGTGCTGGCGCAGACGATGCTGGACAACGCTCCAACTGCAAAGGGTGCCGCGGGCACCAGCCGCGCAGGACTCCGAGGTGCCGCTCGACAGTGCCCCTCGATCGCCTCTCACACACACACACACACACTTTTCCATCGGCGGCGAGACAGAGGAACTGCTCCGGCGGTTAGCGATCGGCGCGGCCGGTACGCGAATTTAAATGGGCCCTGGGACACACAAAGAAATACAAACAAATATTCTCTTGGTTTTGTCTTCCCGCCCAAATCCCATATTTTCCAATATTTCTTGGGGGATCGACGATTCATTGTGTCTGTGTGTTTCTTCCCCTCCTGATAATTGGCTCGCGTGCAGGAGGGGAGGGCAAAGACAGACAGGGCGGCCGCGAAGGACGTGGGGAGGCGGAGTGCACTCAGACGCGGAAGAACTCCAAGCAGAGTGCGCCGGCGTGGCCAGCAGCGGCAGCGGGCCGACCAGCCATGAGTGGGGGAGTTGTGGTCCTCACCGCCTGGGGGAACCCATCGCCTCGACGATCTCTCGAGAGGGGTGTCGAAATCGATGGGTCCCCCAGGGGGGTAAGGACCACAGCTCCCCCATTTTGTGGCTGGCCTGGCGGGGGCCGTGGCAGCAGCCGGGCCGCGGCGTCGTGGCACCCGCGGGTCTCCACACGTGCACAGGCACCTGTAGCTCGACGCGCGCGGGCACGGCGACGTGCCGGTGCCAGAGCGCAACCTGTGTTAGGCCCGCCCGCGGGAACGAGCGCCCGCGCCCGTGCGACAAGCAAGCATTGCAAACGCGAGCTGGCTGCGCACGCGAGGCTGCTAAGCTTGGCGCGATCCTTCTCGCGGAGTCGGACACAATGGCAGCAAGCCTTTGTGCTGTACCGTGGCGGGCAGTCCACAAGAAACCTCTCACAAGAAACCCAACCCTGAGACCCCAGGACGTCCAATGATTTTTGGTGTGGGAACGTCACGCTTTCCATGGCAAACACATCGAAACCCACGAAAACCAGGGAAGGGTGTTTCTTGGCATGGATCTCCACTGTACGATGCGCTCCGAGGCTGGCAGTGTAGCTGTTCTCCTTGTGCTCCACATTCAGTTTCCGCACTTCCCTGGTCAGCGACGGCGGTTTCAGTCACTGCCCCGCCCACGCTGCATCGCACGCCCCGATGCTGCCATTGTGCCTGGTCTCGTCCGTCTCCGAATTCACTTCCCCGATTCCCTTGAGCAGCGGCAGCGCTGCCGACGTCTGTCTCGCCAAGGCGCACGCGCTCGCGCTGGCAGCGCCACTGGTGACGACGTGGGGCAGCGCTGGGCTCCCACAGTTCACTGGGCAGCGCCGGAGCCAGCTGCCACTGCTCGCCCTCGTCCAGCACCCGCTGTTCCAGCATCGTCTGAAGGGGCCCTGGGGCACGCAAACAAATATACCCAAATCACAAGGTCCCCATATTTTTCCCATGTTTTGTGGGGAATCGACGATGAATGGTGTCTGTGTGTCTTTTGTTCCCTCCTGGACCTCGCCAGGCAGCGACTAGGCCCGCTGCCACTGCCAACCTCTCTCGCACGCCCCCGTCCCAGCTGCACTGCGGCCCTGTCCTTCCGCAGCAGGGCGACGGTCGCAGGGCTGCAGCCTGCTGCCCTCGGAGGCAGCTTCACGCCCCTCGTCTCGACCAGCAGACACACAGCCCGTTGCCAATGCCCGCCTTCTCTTGAGCGCGGCGGTGCACCACATGTCAGCGGTGACGGTAGGTGAGCGTTTTTTTTGTTATCCGGCGTTTCGACGTTGGGCGGAAGGGGGGAGGGGAGGGGGGGGTCTGGCTCCGGACCTCTGCTTGACGCGACTGCTTGCAACAGGGCGTCCATTATGGGGGCCCGCGCCGATCGGCAAAACAATGAATAAAAAGCGACCACTGGGATCCCCACATCTCTCGCATCAGCGCCAAAGCCCGCTGCTGTGCCTACTCTGCTCCTCTTGGCCCCCCTCCTCGGCAGGCTCCTTCCCCTCTTCGCGTCTTTCCGCGCCCTTGTGGTGGGTGGCGCCTCCTCTCACCCATCGGCTTCCCCTGCACCGTCGGTCGGCCTTCTGTCCCTCGCATCCGTCCGTCGATCTCCCTCGCCTATCTATCCAAGCAGAGCGGAGAGGGAAGCGAGAAGCGAGAAGCGTCGCTTCTCGCTTCCCTCTCCGCCTTGCTCGGCCCTCCGTGCCCTTGCCTTCATGGCCCGCTGTTGTTCTGCCCTGGCCGGCTGCGAAGGCACGGCAACCTCCCGCTGCTCTGACGGCGTGCGCCCGCGCGCGCCTGCCCCACGTCGAGAAGAACCGACAGCGTATGCGGCAGGCTGGCCCCTTGTCGTCCCGCTTGGCCGGCTTCGGCCACTGCTGCATCGTTCAGGGCCTCCTCTACTCGTCTCCTTTCCTTGCCTGCCAGCGCCCGCGCGCGCCCGCGGGACCAGCGAGCGGGCAGCGACCAGGCCCAGCCCGCAACGACCGAGAATTTGCGGCAGCGGCGTGGGCGGACCGCGAAGCGCTTGGAAACTTGCCGTGCCGCGGCCGGGCTGATTGCACACCAGACCGGCCATGAAAGGAAGGTGAACTTTTTTTTTATTCGGCGTTTCGACACTGGGCGGAAGTGGGGGGAAGGGGGGTGTCTGGCTCCGGACCTCTGCTTACTGCGACTGTCTGCGACAGTGCGTCGGATGGGGGGCGGTTCCACCTGCCTGAAGGCGCCAAAAACACCCACGATCTACTCCTCGGGGGGGGGGGGGGCGAAGGCCCGCGCCGATGGGCAAAATAAGGATAAACAAATCTCACAAGAGGAGGGCTGTGGAGAAGCGGAACAGCGGGGGGGGAAGACGCGCTCAGAGCATGAAGCACATCACGTGTAGCGTCGGCAGCCTCAGGCCCCTCTGCAGTGCAGATACCCATGCTGGGCGAGCGGTGTGGCCGGTCAGCAGTGTAGTGTATATTTCGATTCCTTCGACTGTACATTCCCGATGCGGGCACCGGCTGCGCAAGGGGTTTGATCGAAAAAGCGCAAGCATACTCACAGACCAGCCTCGCCTACAATGTCGTATCGCACCCGGCCGTTGATTACGGGCCGCACCCTTGGCACAACTTTGGAGATACGGCGGGCTCACGCTGCGATGACGCCGGCGTCGGTTTTCTAGCACCGCGCGGGTCGTTCCACCTGGAGCGATCGCGGCTCTCCGACGCACGGGATCGCTAGACACTGGCCGACTCCAGGCGCTTGGCAGCGTTCAGCCTTGCAGGCCCGCGATGGGGTGGCCGCCGCGTCGGCGCGGCGCCAACCTGCCGTGTGTTATGATGACGTCGGGCTTCAGCTACGCCTCCCGCATCTCGCCGAGCAGCGCCAGAGCCCGCTGCCACTGCTCGCTCTTCTCGCACCGCTTCAGCCGATGACGTCGGGCTTCGAGATCGCCGCCGCCGAGCAAGTCGGAGAGCAGCGGGAGGCGCGGACGCTGCGATGGAGACAGCGACAGGCCCCTCAGGAGCGCCCCCCGCCGGGCCCGTGGAGGAGCAAGAGCCCCCCAAGGCCAAGACAATTGTCACGATTGGCTCTCTCGCACGCGCTGGTCCCGACGCTGTAGCTGACCACGTCGGGCTCCAGCTTCGCCTCCCGCATCTCGCTGAGCAGCGCCAGAGCCAGCTGCCAATGGCAGCCCTTACCGCACGCGCTGCTCACGGCGCCATAGCTGGTGACGTCGGGCTCCATTGTCGCCTCCCACATCTCTCTGAGCAGCGCCAGGCTGCGCTGCCAGTCCTCGACCTTCTCGCACGCCCTGATCCCACCATTGTAGCCGACGAGTTGGGGCTAGGCACATGTAAAAGTAACGATCGCTCATCTGCTTGTTTGCTCGACTGCTTGGGTGGTTGCTCGCCGAAAGACCAATGGTACTTTTCAGCTGGGCTACCTGCTTCCGGTTGTTACTGCTTCACTGTTTGCCCATCCGCTCGCTGCCGCTTCCCGCTGCTTGCTGATGGTAGGCGCCGGTTGCTGCACCTTTGTATATCTGCCTATTGCTCTTCATTGCCGCTGAGGGCTGGTGCTCACTGCTGCGTTCGGTTGCTTGATGCGCCTTGATACTGACGGGCGCTCATGCTTGGTACTGGTTGATGCTGCTGCGTGCCTGCGACTGCGTGGTTATGATAGCTGCCGCTCTTGCGTGCTGGTAATGCTTGCCGCTGCTGCTTGCTGTTGCTAATGGTGGCTTCATGATGCTGCTGATTCCCAGTTCTGGAAGCTTCGTGCGAATGCAATGTGCTGTTCCCTTCTACATGATGATGCTTGGTGTTGCTGTGTGCAGCCGCTGCCGCTGCCTGGTTTCTGCAGCATGCTGCTGCTGTTCACTGCTGAAGTTTGATATTCCAGGGTGGTGCTTGTTGCGACATCTGCTTGCTGGCGCAATCTGCTGCTTTTTAACGGCTGAAGGGAAGAGGAGCGCTGAGCGGGGATCGAGGAGCGGGAGAAGTGGCGGTAGGGCTGAGTCGGGCAAGGGGAGCAGAGGGAGAGCCGAAGAGTGAGGAGGGGGATAGGGGCGCGAGCGTCTAGCAAGGAGGATGGACGGGCGAGGAGGGAGGCGCGATGTGGAACGAAAAGAGGGGGCAAGGAGCGAGGAGAAAGAGAGAGATGCGAGGATCATTGCGCGAGTAGCTAGGACCATGGGGCGAGGAGCACGGCGAAAGAAGCAAGGAGGGAGGCCTGCGAAGCCGCCTGCACACGAATTCCTTAGTGGCCTCTCCGCGCGTGTGGCCGAACACTTGGTCCCTGGTTGGGTCTCTCATGTGGCCCTCTCGGGGCCTCCTTGTTGGATGGTGCTGGCTCCCTGTGGGCCTTCTCGGGCCTTTTCTGGCCAGCTGGGCGTTGCTTGGGGCCTCTGCATGCTCTGTCAAGGGTGGCCAAGCGTGACCTTCGATTCTTGATCATCGAGGCGGGGGGGGGGGGGAAGGAGAAGGAGGAGGAGGAGGACGAGGACGAGGAGGAGGCGGAGGAGGAGGAGGAGGCTAAGGAAAGGGAAGGAGGAGGAGGAGGAGGAGGAGGAGGAGGAGGAGGTCGAAGGGGCTGCCTTGGGGCAATGTTTAAAGTTTGTTTCGGGCAGCTTGGATGGCGGCCTGGCACGCCTGGTGCCATCTTGGTGGGCGCCCGGGGGCCCTCCTGGGGGGCCCGTGTGCGAAGGGGCCCACGGGCATACAAGTAAGGAGACACAGGTTCCAGGATTCACCATTTTCTTACATGTCTATTTGGCTATCATGTCCCCCTCCATCTCCAATCTTTTCCGATCTTTGCACAGAGATCGACAATTAGTGATGATTGTGTCGAGTTTCCCTCTCTCACTGTGGGCCCCAAGGGCGCTCTTGGAGGTACCTCGGGCCCTTTGCTGAACGATCTGGGGCCGACAAGTGGGGCGCTGAAAATCACAAGCGCAACACGGAATTGCAATGTTGGCATGTCGGGCGCCCTCGGCGGAACCATCCTGGAGCGTGTCGGGGCCACCTTGGCGTCATTTTTGGAAGTCTCAGAAGGGGCTGTAAGGACGCCTGAGAACTACCGAATTACCATCGCCCTGACACCTCCATTCCCCGCTCTTTTTCCGGTGTCGTGCGATTATTCCCAACCATCCTGTGGTGTTGGGTCCTCGCTTTGAAGAGACAGCACCCGCGTTCACTCCTCACTCGTCCTCGCCTTTCTTGCCTTCCGCATGGCCATGTTTCAGCGCACCCCTCACACGACTCGACCGAAGGACCCAGTAGCAAACTTCAAATGCGCCCCCCCCGCCTAGTACACCGCTTCGCGGCCCCATACAAGCTCCACCGTTGGCCCCAATGACAAGGTTCACATGCGGCCCCCCGCCCACCGCATCTCGATCTCGGCACACCCCTCGCACGTTTCGTCACCCCGTAGGGAGCTCCACCGAATACCCCAGTGGCAAGATTCGCATGCGGGTCCCGCCCACCGCATGTCCATGTCGGCACACCACTCACGCGTTTCGTCGCCCCAGAGGGAGCTCCACCGCATACCCCGGTGGCAAGATTCGCTTGCGGTTCCCCGCCCACCGCGTATCCATTTCGGCATACCCTTTCACACGCTTCGCGGCCCCATAGGAAGTTCCACCAAAAGCCCGACTGGCAGGGTTTGAACGCGGCTCCCCGCCCACCGCATATCCATGTCAGCACACCCCTCCCACGCTTCGCAGCCCCATAAGCTGGGTAGTCGAAGCCAATCTGGCGCCAATCTGGCAGACCCAATCTGGCAAACGGGGGCAATCTGGCGAGGGAGCCAACGCGAATCCAGTATGGCGAATAACCCAAATCATCCAGTTTGGCCGGGACAGATTGGCCCTTGGGGCCCAATCCAATCTGACAGTCTGGCATTCGACTACCCAAATAAGGAGCTCCACCGAACGCCCCCGTGGCAAAGTTCGCATGCGGCTCCTCGCCCGCCGCATGTCCATTTCGGCACACGCGTCACATGTTTCGCAGCACCGAAGACCAACATGGCAGGGTTCACATGCGGCTCCCCCCCACCGCATGTCCATGTCGACGAACTTTTCGTACGTTTCGCGGCCCCATAGGGAGCTCCATCGAAAGCCCCATGCGGCTCCCAGCCCACCGCATGTCCATTTCGGCACGCCCTTCACACGCATCGCCCCAAGGGAGCCCCACCGAAGTCGCACCCTTCACGCGCTTCATAGCCCCATACGCTCACGGGGACTCCCCTTCGTTTTGCCTCTAGGATTAGGTTGTTCCCATCGTACTTAAGGACCACATCCCAGAAATAATTTCGGGCACCTGGAAAAGTATCGAAAAGTGCCGAAACAGTTTCGAAACAGTGTCGAAAGAGTATCTCCCAGGGCCCGGACACATGAAAATCCTCGAGTTTCGTTTCTTTCTTAGTGTTCGACACTATTTCTCGTGATTCTGGCTAAAACAAATTGGAACATCATAACTCTAGGAACTGCCCGACGCCCGCCGTTGTCAGCCACCCGTGCTTTTGCTCTGTGCCGCGGACAACCCGCGCGCGTCGCCAGGACTCCTTTGGGGCGACCGGCGCCACGGGGATTCCGCAATGGGCGGTGCCCAGCGCCGCGGCCACCAAGGCGTAACTACAACGAGTTCTTGTGGCGAGGGTGCCCATGAACGAAGGATTGCAAAAAACCCTTTTGAACGAAGGATTGCAAAGGATTGCAAAGGTTTTTGTTGCAATCCTTCGTGCAAGGGTTCTGTTTGCAATCCTTTTTTGCAATCCTTCGTGTCTCAGGCTACGGCTTGTCAGGTTGACGACAGCGTCTCCGGCACGTCACTTGCAGACGTGCTCTACCCGCTTGCCCTGTGCTATAAAAGCGGAGCTGGTCGCAAGGATGTGTGTCGACCCCTGTTGCCTTGCACACCGCTTACGCTTGCGGTCTCGCTCCTCCCATGTTTGCACATCAGCGGCAGGGAGTTCGGGTCACCTCCGGAGGAATGCAGGGCGCCACTTCGGTCGTCTTTGGGCCGTCAGGTGGCCGACAACGCGGAATCTCTGCTGAACGCTCGTGCGTCGTTCAGGACAGGCGCCGCTGTCATCTATATAATTCTTGATTGGCATTGTTCAGGTCGGGCGTGTCTCCCTACAGGCGGATTTTGGAATAACAAATACAAAACAAACAATAAGACAACATCGTCGAAACATCATGTTCGTGTTATGGTTGACTACTTCGAAAGTTCCCCCCTGTAGAGGGACACGCCCGACGTAAAGCAACGTCTCCTTGTGGACCATGCGGCAGTGCTCCGTCGCCCAGGCGAGGCCACGACGGCCGCAGGGGAAATGTGCTGCGCCGGATCCGCTCCGCGGGCCCGGGCGGCGGCCGCACGGTCGAGGACAGCAAGCAGTGAAAGAACGACGCACGTGGCACCTCGCGGCGCAGGTGCGCCGCGCGGCAATGCTTCGAGGGAGAGAAGTGCCAGCCTCCTCGCCGACGCCATCTGGCGTGTCCTGCTCCTCGTCTTCCTGCCTCCTCCCGCTCTTCCGTCACTGCCCTTCTGAGCTGCAGGTCTCATACTTGTTCAGGCCCTCTGTCGACCTCTCGTGTTCCACGGTCGCGAACCACTCGCACGGGGCGTCCGCGCGTGGCGAGTGACGACACAGAAGGGAGAGCTTTCGCCGACCCTGTCGGCATGTGTGGGGGGGGCTTCTCTGTTCGGGGCGTCGCCTCCGTCAATCGTCGTCTCCGTCGCCCCCTCCTCCTCGAGCCTGTCAGCGAGAGAAGAATCTAGCAATGTCGAAATCGAGTCGAACGGAATCCCCTTCCCTTCGATCTCTCCCCGGGAGGGGGGGTCCCGGGGGGGTAAGGGTCCCGAGGGGGCCCCAAGGGGGGGCGGGGTGCGGGGCAGATGTGCATCTCCCCTGAGGGTCCTGGGGCCTCCGGAAGTATACCTGGACAGGCCATGAGTGCCCCAAGAGGCCCTCGAGACTCTCCAAGAGGGCCCCCAATCGTCAAACTACCGGTCCAAAACGCCTTCACGCCCTCCTGACTGCCCAGGGGGCTGCCAAGACGTCCCAAGAAGTAACCGAGAGCACAGGGCCCAACGAGGCAAAATTCATTGATGTCCTTTTGGTGTTTCCAGATTTGGGCGTTCTCGCCTTTTCCGCTCCCCGCCGCTCCAAGACGGCCCAAGAGGCCCCCAAGATCGCCCCAAGACGCCGAAGAGGCCTCCAAGAGGGCCCCCACACAGCCCAAGAGGACCCTAAGACACCCCACAAGGCCTCCAAGACGGCCCAAGAGGCCAAGACGGCTCCAAGAGCGTGCCCAGACGGCGGGGCCGAACGAACAATTGGAGCCCCTGGCCCCGAGAGGCTCCCAGGAGGCCCCAAGAAGTTCCCAAGGGGCCCCGACTCAAGTGGCCCACGAGAGGTCCCAAGGAAGCCCGAGGAGGCTCCAACAGCTTCCCAGGAGTCCCCCAAGAGGTCCCCCCAAAGAGGCCCCAGAATTACTCCCCAGGAGGCTCCCGGGAGCCTTCCGAAGAGGCCTCAAGAAGCATCCCTCTGGGCCCACGCCACCGTCGCCGCCGCCGCCGTTGGCGTCGCCCCCCTCTCAGAAGGTCGGCGGCGGCGGCCGCGAGGAGAAGGACGTGGACACACAGCGGCGGGGCCAGGCCTCGGGCCGGCGCGGGCCAGGCGGGCAGGTTCACGACGCCGCACACCGGACGCACAGGAGAGGAGCGAAAGAGCTGGGAAGCAGGTCGGCACGAACACGGCGGCGCACGGGGCTCGCGCCAAACCGTGCGTCCCCCCCAAATCCCGCCAGCCCGACGGCTCTCCTCTCCCAGCCAACGCCGAACAGTCCTTTCCTGGCCCCCTCCTGCTCCTTGCCTGCCCCGCGATGTTCGCAGCTGCTCATGGTTGGGTCCTTCGCCAGGGCAAGTTGTTCCGCAAGATGATCCACGATGCTCATCGGTGGTCCAGATTGTATGGCGCTGGCCTCGCCCAGAAAAAAACGCACACGTCTCGGCGACTCCAGAGGACGGGGTTCTCGAGCGGCGTGGTTTGCAGCCCCAAGGGACAGGCGTGGACCTCGACAGAGCTCTCCGCCGCGAACCCCGAGGAGGCCCGACAACAAGACAGACGCTCCTGCCCCCCAGGGCCCCAACGGCGCCGATCGCAGACCGCACCCCGGCGTAACCACAGCCCCTGTGGCCGCCGAGCGTCCGAGCGAGGCCAGGCCGGGGGCTCCACCAGGGGGCCCGTCACAAGACACTTCGGGATGAAAAGCCGGCCCTCCTCCTCCTCCTCCTCCTCCTCCTCCTCCTCCTCCTCCTCCTCCTCCTCCTCCTCCTCCTCCTCCTTCTCTCCTTCTCCTCCTCCTCCTCCTCCTCCTCCTCCTCTTCCTCCTCCTCCTTCCTCCTCCTCCTCCTCCGCCTCCTCCTCCTCCTCCTCCTCCTCTTCCTCCTCCTCCTCCTCCTCCTGCAAGGGGGGGGGCCGAGGGGGGCGCTCCCACACGGCCGCCCGGGCCCCCCCCCCCCTCGGGAGTGCTTTCCGGGAGGGGCCCGGAGAGCTTTGCCCGTGCTCCGAGGGCGGCCCCCCGGGTGCGGGAGAAGGCGCGGTCGGGCGGATGGCAAAACGGGGGCAGACCTGGGCAGGGCAGGGAAGGGAAGACCCAGGGAGCGAGGGAGGCCCATGGAAGGGAGACCTGGGGAGACCTGGGGGGGGAGACCTGGGAGACCCAGGGAGGGGAGAGAAGGGAAGGGAGACCTGGGAAGGGAAGGGAAGCGGAGGGCCGCAAAGGGGCCCTCTGGGGCACCTTCCGGCGCCCCGAGGGGCCCGAAAAGGGGACCCTTGCGCCCACACGTTTCGGTCACCCCTGGCTGCACCACCCGCCCGATACTGCTGCTGCGTGTCGTGTCGACCCCACTGCGACGATCGGGTGTTTCAGAAGCGCTGGATCGTTCAACGATGGGCCGATTCGGCGCCACGGGCGGCCCCTGTTTTCGCCCACGCATTTCGGTCACCCCCAACTGCACCACCCGCCCGATACTGCTCCATCGTGTCGTGTCGACCCCGGCGCTGGTTCATGAAGCGCTGGACGATCGGGTGTTTCAGAAGCGCTGGATCGTTCAACGACGGGCCGATTCGGGGCCACGGGCGGCATTCAACCTGAAACGCCCGCGCTGGGGTCGCCGCTGGTCGACACGACACAGACCTACCTTTCCACAACGAAGCGCGAGCCTTGTTCGCATGCGCGGGCTCGTGCGCTGCACGAGAGACAGAGGCACCCAAGGACTACCACGACACGGAATTCGCACGCAAGGGGAAGGAAGACAGCGCACATGGCGCACGACCATCGAGGGGCCCTCGGGAACATCGAGGGGCCTTTATGGAGCCAGCATGGGGGCATCTTGGAGCCTCTGGGGCCGTCTTGCGACCCTCTTCCGAGCATCTTGGGGCCCTCGTGGAGGACACTTTGGAATCACTGGGGGGCCTCTCCAGAGGCCATCGTGTCCCTCGAGGACCCCAAGGAGCCTCTCAGGGCGCGCCAGGCCGATGCTCACAATTTCATCCATGCCCCTTTGGGCACGCGCTGGACCCCAGCAGTGCAGAATAGATGGCGTTGGGCTCTAGCTTCGCCTCTCGCATCTCACATAGCAGCGCCAAAGCCCGCTGCCACTGATCGGCTTTCTCGCACGCGCTGATCCCAGCGCTGTAGCTGACTAGGGTGCACCCGTGGATTAAATCCACGGTGTGCTGAACCCCGATCGCGCTCACCGAGACTGGGAGCCGCTGGAGCCGAACGGGAACAGCTGGTCGGACGTCTCCTGCGGTGTGAGGAGGTGGAGGGAGGGAGGCGGGTGAGGTGGAAGCGCAGATAGCGGGTCTGGCGCGCAAAACGACGGGTTCCCTCGTACCGCACACGGCGATGGCGACGGCGACGGCGAAGGCAACGGCGGCGGCGACGGTGACGGCGGAGGCTGCCGGCGCGCGGGCGCGCGAGCTGGCGGGCTCGCGCGAGTCGGCCCACCCGAACGACGACGACGACGTCGCCGCTGCCATCGAGGTGGCTTCCATGTGTCTTTCCCTTTAGCCCCCCCCCGTAACCATCATGATAGCATGGTTGTTGCTATATTTCACAAATGACGCTTATCGGAAGCGTTCAATGCAAAGCCGCCCGGGCAACGCCTGCGGCGTAAACGCGTTGAAATTTCCATGGGTCTGATATTAATCGGGGGGGCCGCACGACTAAAACGCAGTAGAAAAGACGACGAAGGCGGAGGAGGAGGAGGAGGAGGAAGAAGAAGAGGAGGATGGTCAATCGAATTCAGCCGTGGAGCCAGAAGATTAGGACGGAGGAGGAGGAGAAGGGAGAGGAGGAGGAAGAGGAGGAGGAGGAGTTGGAGCAGCAGCAGCAGCAGCAGCAGTCCAGGAGGACTCGGTCCTGGGGGGGCTACAGAAGCGCCGCCCGCCTCTCTCCGACGCGCTCGGCGTGACTACAGAAGCGCTCCGATCCTTCCCCCGAGGCGCTCGGTGTGACAGGGTTGCCCCTCCTCGACTCATTGTAGGTAGGTCTTGTGATCGTCGTTAGAGAGATGGAGGTATGACTAGAAATCCAGAAGACACGCGTCGGCGGGGCATCGATGTCCATCAGGGTTCGGACAAGGTTCCCCGGCAGCGCGTACTGGCCGCGGAGTCTGGCAATGAAGCGGGATCGATGGAGAGGGTCGGCCCGAAAAAAAATGTTGGATTCACGATGCAAAGTCCCGTGTGTCCCTTGCAATCGCCTGAAACGCATGGTGTTTTCGAGAATTGCCCGAACCAGGGTGCTTTCGACGATGTGGTCGGGGCGGCGTCAGCAGCGAAATGCGCATTTTCCTAATGGACTTGGGCCGATTCGCAAGGACACACGGAGCAAACATTGGGTTTCGGAGGTATGTGCGGCGATGTCATGGACGGGCCCATGTGGAAGCTTTCAAAGCCTGCGGGGGTCCTTTTGGCAATGTCGCGGGGCTCTGGGGGAAGCCGTGGCGGTCCCAAAGGTGGCCCGCCCTGGTAGAACGCACTCGAGATGTTCCAAGAGAACTCGAAGACGATCCCCGGAGAGCTCCGAATGTCCGAAGAAACCTCGGAAAGCATGTGGGAGAACAGTGGCCCACCGCCCAGGCACGTTGGCGGGTTGCGCCGAAGGCCAGTGTTTTGAGGACATGCGATTTTTCAACGTCGTTCAGGCGCTATGTGCTCGGCCGGATGTCGAGCAGTGGGTACGCGGTGGGATGTCTGCGCAGGAGCTCCTGAAAGTCGCTAAGCTCACAATCGTGTTGGAGCCATCCTGGACCATTTCGGGGCGCTCTTGGGTAGCTCTGAGGCCGCTCGGGTCGTATTGGAATCGTCTTGGTGCCCTCCTGGGCCATTTCGGGGCGCTCTTGGGTAGCTCTGAGGCCGCTTGGGTCGATCCGCGAGGCCCTTGTAGCCGCCGTGGGCGGTCCGGAGCTGGAAAGAAGGAGAGCCAGAGAAACATTAAAAAAAAAACGCCTAGGGAATCCAGAAAATCTGCCTCTGGAAACGTTCCCGCGGGGTGTCTGCGGGTTGTCTTGGGGCGTCCTGCCCCAAGAGGGGTCGCAGAAAGCACCTGGTGGAGGCTACAAGGAGGGGGTACGTTGTAGTATCCATTCGGTCGCCGATTCGGGCTCTCTGGGAGCCCTCGTCGGGCCGTTTCGGGAGTCCTTGGGGGGATATCGGGGGCCTCTTGGGGCTCTCTTGGGCCGGCGTGGGGCCGTCATGGACAGTCTTCGGGCGCTATCGAGCCGTTTTGGGATTCCCTGGGGGGGGTCTCGGGGGCCTCTTGGGGCCGTCTCGGGCCGGCTTGGGGCCGTCTTGGGCAGTCTTGGGGCGCTCTTGGGCCGTCCTGGGGCCTTCTCGGGGGCCTCCTGGTGGGTCTCGGGGGGACCGTCTGGGGCCGGCTTGGGGCCGTTTTGGGCAGTCTTGGGAACTCGTGGGCCGTCCTGGGGCCTTCTTGCGGGCCTCATAGTTGGTCTCGGGGGCCTCTCGGCCCTCTTGGGCCGGCATGGTGCCGTCTTGGGCAATCTTGGGGCGCTCTTGGACCGTTCTGGGGCCCTCTTGGGGGCCTTATGGGCGGTCTTGGAACGATTCGCGGCGCCTTTGGAGCCGTTCCGGCTCGAAGAAGCCCGAAGCGAGAAAATCATCAAAAACCAATGGGTTTTTTGCCCCCTGAAGCCCTTGTCGAAATCGTCAAGAGAGCCTCTGGGGCCACTCGGGCCCTTCAGGGGCCCTGGGGGTCCGTTTCGGGGCTCGCTTGGGACTCTCGTGGATCCGTCACGAGCGGGCGAGGGCCGTTCGGGGAGCGCCGGCGACGGACCAAGACCGTTCCGGGGGCGCCGGTGACGGACCAGGGCCCCAGGAGCGCCGGGGGCCAGGCCGAGTCCACTCGAGGGGGCTTCGCACGCACTGATCCCAGTATTGTAGAAGGAGACTAGGGCTGACCAGTGGACTCCGTCCACGCCATCTGGCCGAGAGCACTCTCGGGGGAGAGGCGGGAACGCTGCCGAAAGGCTATCCACATGGCGGTCAGCCCCTGCGGCAGCAGCGCCCCGAGCTGCACCGGCACGCTCTGCAGCGCTTGCCGGCGCCGCCCGACGGGGACGATGACGGCGGCGGCGGCGAGAGACGGAACGCTTGCGGGGAGGCAGCTCGGGCGTGCGGCGCCCCTGCGGGATGATCCCGCGGTAGCTCCGCACGTCATCTGGACCCTCATGAGGTTCTCTTCTGGGCCTTCTCGGGTTTTCTCCTCCTCCTCCGCCTCCGCCTCCTCCTCCTCCTCCTCCTCCTCCTCCTCCTCCTCGTCCTCCTCCTCCACCTCCTCCCTTCCCTCCCCCTCCTCCTCCTCCTCCTCCTCCTCCTCCTCCTCCTCCTCCTCCTCCTCCTCCTCCTCCTCCTCCTCCTCCTCCTCCGCCTTCTTGCCTCGATGCTGCATGCCCTGGATATGGGATCGTCAATTGTAGACCCTCGGAGCATCGAAAACGGCTGTTTGGGGCCTGCGTTCTGCCTCCCAACTCTCGTCCTCTCGTCCGCCCCCTCCTATGGAGGGAATTCTGTACCCAATTAAGGCCTCTTGGGGGCCGCGTGGGGGACTCTCGGGGCTTCGTTCCGCTTCGAGGGGGCCTCCGTAGGCCCTCTTGGGCTCTCTTCGGTGCCTTTTGGGCCGTCTCGGTATTGGGCAATCTTCGGGCCGTCTTGGGCCGTCTTTGGAACTGTCTGGGGTGCCTCTTGGGCCGTCTTGGGCGCCCCTTGGGCCGTTCTGGGCCTGTCGTTGGGCCCCGATGGGCATCTTGGGTCGATTTGGACGCGGCAGAAACGAAAAGCACGCGAATGCCACAAATGTCAGTTTCCCTACGGGAAGGAGACGATTTCTGCGTCTCGGGACTGCATTGGGGAATTAATTCTCGAGGGCCGTCTTGGGAGACTCCTGCCCTGCCCTGGGGGCCATCGGGGCCGCCGGAGCGGCCTCTTGAGCGGCTCGGAGCGCCCCAGGGGCCGTAGGGGTGGCCTCTGGAGCGACTCGGAGCTGTTGGGGTCGTCGGGGCGCCCCCTTGAACGGTTCGGAAACGCCTTTGGGCCATCGGGGCGGCGGCCTCTGGAGCGTCTCGGGTCCGTCGTCGGGCTGTCGGGGCGCCCTCTTCAGCGGCTCGAAGCCGCCGTAAGTCACTCGCTGCAGAAACCCTTAGATCGCACGCACTCAGTCGCACGCAACTGCACGCAACCCCTGAAGTCACTCAGTCGCACGCACTGCTCCCAGTATTGTAGGAGAGACTAGTTGAAGGGGCCCTGGGACACACAAATAAATACACACACAAACAAAAGGATTCCCCATATTTTCCCATAGTTTCTGGGATTCTGTCTTCCCCCCCACTGCCCATATGTTCCAACATTTTCTCGGGAATCGACGATTAATTGTGTCTGTGTGTGTCTTTGTTCCCTCCTGAATTGTAGCAGAGGCTGGTGTACGCGTGTGCCCGTGCTACCGCCTCGGAATCTGCCCGACCTGACACGCGCCATGCCTTGCGAGCTGGGACGGCTTGGGGCTCCTCGGGCCCTCCCTCTTGGAGCACTATGTTCGCGCCCTCGGACCTGTTTGGAAGTCGGGAATCTTTTGACCCGGGTCAATCCAGACCCAGGTCGGTCAGGCCTTGCAGAATCCTGCAGAATCTTGCAAAATCCTGCACCCAAGCCCGGGTCAATGCGAAGGATCCTGCAGGATCCTGCACCCAAGCCCGGTTCAATGCGACCCTGGCCCTGCAGGATCCTGCAAGATCGGGCGCTCTGGCGGACCCCCGTTTGCAGCGACCCCCGTCTCAACGCTGCCGAGGAAGGGCCTCCTGGAGCTCGCGGGACGCATCTCTGGAGTTTTTTCGGGGCGCGCTGAATCGATACTGTGCAGACTTGGATAAAAGGGGCCCAAGGACACACAACAAATGACATACAAAGCCCAGGCTTCTAGATAACTTCTTATATTTCCCAACCATCCTGTGGTGTTGGGTCTTCGTTTTGAAAAGACGGCGCCCAGCGTTCTCCTCCAGCCTCCTTCATCCCTCCTCCCGTCACCCCCCTGACTTTGGCATACCCCTCACACGCTTCGTGGCCCCATAAGGAGCTCCACCGGCGGCCCCACTGCTACCGCCCGCATGCGTCCCCCCCACCCGTACAGCGTTTCGTGGCCCCGTCGGGGGTTCCACCGAAGGCCCCAGTGCTACACCCAGTACAGTGAGTGCTTCGTGGCCCCATTGCGAGCTCCACCGAAGGTCCCTCAGTTACCGCCCGCATGCGTCCCCTCCACCCAGTACGGCGCTTCGTGGCCCCATAGGGAGCTCCACTGAAAGTCCCAGTTCTACCGCCCGCATGCGTCCCCCCGACTCACTGCAGCGCTTCGTGGCCCCATGGGGAACTCCACCGCCGGCCCCAGCGCTATCGCCAGAATGCGTCCTCCCCACCCAGTACAGCGCTTCGCGGCCCCGTAGGGAACTCCACCGACGGCCCCTGTGCTACCGCCCGCACGCGTCCCCCCCACCCAATACAGCGCTTCGTGGCCCCTATAGGGCGCTCCACAGAAGGTCCCAGCGCCACCGCCCGCATGCGCCCCCACCACCCATTACAGCGCTTCGTGGCCGCAGAGGAACTCCACACAAGGTCCCAGCGCTATCGCCAGAATGCGCCCCCCCCCACCCAGCACAGCGTTTCGTGGCCCCATAGGGCGCTCCACTGAAGGTCCCAGCGCCACCGCTCGCATGCGCCCCCCCCCCCCCCCCCCCAGTACAGCGCTTCGTGGCCCCATAGGAAGCTCCACCGAAGGCCCCAATGTTTCCGCAGCGCTTCGTGGCCCCATAGAGAGCTCCACCGACGGCCTCAGCGCTACCGCCCGCATGCGTCCCCTCCGCCCAGTACAGCGCTTCGGGGCCCCATAGGGAGCTCCACCAAAGGCACGTGTGCTACCGCCCGCATGCGCCCCCCCCCCAGTACAGCGCTTCGTGGCCCCATAGGAAGCTCCACCGAAGGCCCCAATGTTTCCGCAGCGCTTCGTGGCCCCATAGAGAGCTCCACCGACGGCCGCAGCGCTACCGCCCGCATGCGTCCCCTCCGCCCAGTACAGCGCTTCGGGGCCCCATAGGGAGCTCCACCAAAGGCACGTTTGCTACCGCCCGCATGCGCCCCCCACCCAGTACAACGTTTCGTGGCCCCATAGGGAGTTCCACCGAAGGTCCCTCTGTTACCGCCCGCATGTGCCCCCCCCAACCATTACAGCGCTTCGTGGTCGCATAGGGGGCTCCACCGACGGCCCCAGTGCTACCGCCCGCATGCGCCCCCCCCACCCAGTACAACGCTTCGCGGCCCCATAGGCAGCTCCACCGAAGGCCGCAGTGCTACCGCCCGCATGCGTTCCCCCCACCCAGTACAGCGCTTCGTGGCCCCATACGGAGCTCCACCGACGGCCCCACTGCTACCGCCCGCATGCGTTCCCCCCAACCCAATACAGCGCTTCGTGGCCACATATGGAGCTCCACCGAAGAGGATATTCACAATTGCGGCATTCACAACTGAATGTGGTTGGGTCCTTCGCCAGGTGAATTGTCCCATAGCTTCCTAAGATTCGACGATTGATTGTTTCTGTGTGTGTGGTTTTTCCCCACCTAAATTTTGGAGGCCTCTGGGGCCGCCTTGGGCCGCAGGAG